GAGATGCTCCGCGGCCAAAAACGCACTCGACCGCCCGCGCGCAGCAGCATACCGTAGCTGATGATGACGCCACGCGAGCGGCGGGCCTAATCTGCGAATTCGCGCGATGGCCGCCCATGCGAAAGCGCTGCTGCTGCTGCATGCATACCAGCACATCACACGCACTGGCCTCTTCAAGCACAGCTCAATCGTAACCAGCACTCAGAGCGTATAGCAGCGGAGTGTCGGTGATTGGGATTCAGATTGCTAATTCAGCAGTTCGCAATCGCACACAGATCGCAATGTCAAGTCATCATCAGCTATCTATACACACTCGTGACTCAAGCGAAAGCGAATCTCCCGTCCCGATGATGAGTGAGACAGATCGACAATCATCGCTTTGATCACATCTCGACCTACCCTTACCTCTGCCCCTCCCGTCCCTGGCTTCCACCTACACGCAAGCAAGCTGGTCCCCAATCAAGTTCGCACGCAATCAGCTGCATCACCTTGACCCCGGATTCTCTAATTTACTGATAATCCAAAGTATAGTTTAGTCGAAGCATTCCTTGCAATTGGAGTCATCAGCGTCAAGCGCTGCTTGTCTCCCTCTCTCACGACACCACCAGCTACACACAGAGCGAGGCAGTCAGTCACTCGCTGTTCGTCGTCGTTCAGCCTGCCCCTCAGCCTCTTCGTCTCTCGGCAGTCCGGACCACGGAGCGACATTGCGCGGCCAGTACCCTCGAGACAGTCAGCCACATTATATCAGCTTCACCAGCCTCTACGCATTTGCTCACGTCTGAGCACCCTCAGCAAAGCACGCTGGCGCTCAGCCTCGAAGTGTGCAAAGGGCGCTTGCTCGCTCGCACATCACCGCTTGCAAACCGACATTGCGTTCTTCAGGTAGGAATCGTTGCGAAATATTCATCAGCGTCTCGAAAGGGTCGGGCACATCCGCCTTCGCATACATGACCTCGGGCGAAAGCAGCTGGAGAGGGAATCGGACATCGGACCCTGACAGTCAGCATGGTGAGTGCTCGGTACTGCGTCGCGTACGAATCATCGACATGGGCCGCTGTTCACCTGCAGGAGTCTGACGGGACGCCCAATGC